ATGAAGACATTCTACATCAAAGAGGTATGTAATTCTAACTTGAGATATTCATATGAATCAATGTTATTATGCTAGTTAGGATGAATACCTTGGAAAGTTCATATTTGCATGTATAATAGAGTAAACATAGATCCAAGGTATTTAGGGTTGCATGTACACTTAGGAGTGTTAGAATGCTCAAAACCCATCAGTGGTATCAAAGCCTAGGCTTGTTTTCTTGTTATACTTGCAAAAATTGGTTGAAAATCGAATTTTGTTGTTGTCTGCACAACAGACTTGCCGAGTCCATGAAGGGACTCGACGAGTCCAAGGCTAAATTCATCCAACTCGCCGAGTTGGTTCATGCACTCGACGATTTGGACACCCTGACTGTATATATTTGATTGTTTTGGCTGGAATTGGACTAGGAACATTACCTTAAGATGTTTTTGGACTTATAAAGTTGTTTTTGATGTGGTAATGTTCATGCTAATCCAATATCAAAGATAATTATCAATACATTCATGTTTTGTATTAGTTTAAAAGTTATGCTAATTACATGAAAAAAGGTTTGATGTGAATTATCTTTGTTCATATGAGTTGCTTAGATTAATAGAAAAGTTGATTGATTATGTGTCTTTAATCCATTTTAATCTAAGAGTTGATTCTAAAATGTGTTTGTGTAACTTGTCCTCACGTTACATGAAAGGTCACATTTAAGTTTCTTAAAACTCATAAAAGTTGGCAAAGGTTACAAAATGAAGAGTCTTGTCCTCATTAATTGGTTTTATGACTCCATAACTTGTCCTCAAGTTATGGAGTTTCAAGAGTCTCTTCATTAAATAATTAAAATGTGTAACCTTAATTAGTTCCATAAGTTACAAAAGAAGAAGAGTTACATTATTTAATGGTTTAAAGTCTTCCATAACTTGTCCTCAAGTTATGGAACTTGAAGAGTTTTCTTAATTAAAACTACTTTAAACACATAAGTTATGGAATTAAAGAGTTTTGAATAGTTTCAAAACTTTCCCTCAAGTTTTGGAATTTGTAAAGTTTTCTCATGAAAACTTTAGTTCCAAGTTAAACCCTTAGAATTTTAAAAGTTAAAATTCAACCCTTATACTTTATAATATTATAAGTTAATAATATTTATATATATATATATATATATATATATATATATATATATATATATATATATATATATGTATATGTATAAGAGAAAGTCGTCTTACCATTAGTAGGCCTCATTCACGAAGCCGACCTATAAGGGAAGTATAAGGTTACTACCTATAAAATGGCAGCTTAATGGGTACCCACTCTCACCCACCGCTTCCTTAACTGGTGGAGGATTGTTAGCCGAACAGGTAGGACAAGGACTATAATTATCCCTTCATTAAAATTATTAATGATAAATACTAAGTAACTAAACTCTTAGGAATACCCAATCTTAGTTACTTAGGAAAATGTGAATAAGGTGCTAATCCATGAAATTACACTTTGCACTTTGTTTAAGTCGGTTAGTGGAGCGTGTGTGGTTAACCGGCACACTAACTCGTATTTAACAAAGTAGGCAAAAGGTAACCGAGGGTGGTAATCTTTGTGTGACCAGAGGGTCTTATATGTTTATATTGAGTGTTGTCATATCATGCGTTATGTCTTTGTGATATATGTTATATTCTTCTGTGCATTCTAAGATCGGACCGGAGGGTCCAACCCAAGCTGTGAGACCAGAGGGTCCTCACTGAGATATAGGACTGGGGGGTCCAACCCGAGTTGTGAGACAAGAGGGTCCTCACTAAAACACATGACCGGAGGGTCCACACCAAGCTTTGAGACCGGAGGCTCCATGCCAAGCTATAGCCATGAGTGGCTTATTATTTGTGTATGTGGTATTTTGGGGAACTCACTAAGCCTTGTGTCTACTGTGTTATGTGATACGTGTTTCAGGTACTTCTTAGGATCGCGGGAAGGTGTCGGCTTGATTGTACACACGAGATGGAGTCATGTTTCACTATACTGGATTTTTATAACGGAGATGTGTCTTTATTAATTTGATACTTTGGGATTTTTGTGAAATGTGTTAATGAAAATTATGTGATTTTAAAATGAAAATTTTGTTTCATCCTTGTTTCTTCCCTTTCTCCCCCCCCCCCCCCCCCCTTGTGAATACTAAACGAAGTGCGCATATAAGGACAAAATTTGAATGTGGAATTTATTTCCCTCGCCTTCAACTCGAGAACACTGCTGGTGATTTTTTCTCACCCTTGTTTCTTCCATTTCTGCCCCCCCCCCCCCCTTGTGAATACTAAATAGAGTGCGCAAACAAGGTTCAAGAACTCAATCCTTGAATTAACTTAAGATCAAGGTATGCTAAAAATGACGACCCAGTCAATTATGGTAAAACAGTCTTGTCTCGCATTTAATCGAATCAACAAAGTACTCAAAAGTATAAAAAGATTAAGTATGAACAATGTAAATCTATTCAATAATAATAAGAATGTTAGAGAGAACAATTGACCGAATAATTCTTCATTGATGTGAAAAAGTTGTATCTTCCACTTACTTAATACAAAGGTGACTAGTCCTTAAATAGCCAATGAGTAAGTAAAAGACAAATTGAAAAAATAAGCTTGGACTATGATACGTCTGAAGATCAACAGACAAACACAACCACTTCCGTTAATCTTATCTCATGTACTTAGAACAATAAATGCACATTACAGACTTAGAAACATTCTATCACTAAGATGCATCTGGGACTGGTATTCAACTTCGGAATAGTCTGCATTTTGGAACTCATCATCTTAGAATTTCTTCACTTCGGATTGCATAAGGATCAATTTTCATGTTCTATCAATCTCCCCTAAGTGACCCTTGCAATCATCCAATTCATCACTTAGCTTCGTCAAACACAAACGAATAGGCACTTTTGAGCCATCTTCGGACTTCAATGTACCATTAGAGATGCTCAACGAAATTCTCTTAGTGTGTTCGGAAGAATGAATCTAGGCGGCATTGGAAATGAAATTTTTGAAGAATCTTAGTAGGAATGAGATGTTTGTCAATCAATCTAAAAAATTCCTTTTGATTGGTCTTCTTTTTTAGGTAGACATAACCAAGTTCTAGTTCTTCAATTGGTCCTTCTACGAAGATCTCGGCTTCAGGAAGTTCAGTAGAGATATTGGCCAAAATGTTTTCCTTTCTGAAGAGATGAGCGAAATCCACAGCGGATCAACAAAATTTAGTGATATAGTCATTTAGAAAGCATATAGCAGAATTGTAAGTTCCAATGCTCGATTCTTTTGTTTGAAGATCTCGGAGGTGAGCAATTATGACAAGAATGTCATTTGGATTCATTGAAAGGATGTCTACATCAGTGATGATGATGGCAGATTCCTTGTTCCGGGATTTGAAGTACTTGTATAGAAGATAGTCAAGATTAAACTTGCTTTGGACATTTCTACCATGACCTACTATATTGGTAATTCACTTCTGAGACCAAACTTCCTTTTGGAGACGTGCGTTGGTACAGTAAAAAGTTCTCAATCTCTTACAGTCAGTTCAGATGATGATTTAAGGATCATAAGATGGATGTAGGGGTGTGAACTTAATATAATAGCATCCATGTGGAGAGATTGGTAGGTCCATGTAATCAGCATATTAAGTTGGAAGATCGAAATACATGAATGACACAAAATGTATATCATGAAAAATACCTTATCGTAAGACAGGAGGAATGCCCAAAATCAAATTTGGGCTTGAATATGAATGCTTTCTTCCAATGCTTGTTGTAATTGTTCCTTTGACTAGCCTCAGAATTTTTAAAGGACTTCATTGGGCTGTTAGAATCAATGACTATTTGTTTGCCTTTATCTATTGATAGATCAAATTGAGATGAGACGGAGGAGATGATTTGTTTTCTAGATTCAGTAATGAACAACCCGGATAGAGGAGTAAGCAAAGACTCTTTAGGAATCTTGTTTAGTTTTTTGATTGGATAACCTTCGTTAATCTGGACAACTTTCGAAGCAGGAATCGGATGGGGCATTGATTGAGTGGCTCAGAAGGCATCAATTGTCAGTTTTCTTTTAACCTTCACCATGTCTCGGCTCCTTTGGAACGTTTTGGAAAAAGATGATGGCCTAGAAACCGAGGACCGTTTCTTCTTCTCTACTTCCGAAAGGACATTAGTTGGTGGTTCCTTGATGGCTTGTAATCCAAGAATTACATCTTCAACAAAATCATCTACATCATCATCATCATCATTGTCATTATCATTAGCTTCAAATGTATTTACTTCCAAAACTTTTTTTGTCAGAGTTTTCATCTTGGATAGAAAATTCCGAGATTGACCTCCATTGTATTGTCTGTTGTTCTCCCACACGTTGTTCTCCCCCTCTTGCAGAGGACGACCCTGCCTCTGATGCAAGCACTGGAGCATAATTAAGCTTGCTTAGTCGTTCAATGACTCGTTGAAATCTTGTGTTGATTTTCTTGGAAAGCGAATCATAGGCTTCTACAGTTGGAGCTTGTGTTTTGACGTGATTAAAGATTTCATAAATGATGTGAAGCATTTCATCGAACTTGTAGTTCAGAACATCCATATGATGTTGAGTTGCACAGATGACCTTGTTAAGCACTTCTTTCATAACCATATTCATGGCATCTTTGTGACGAATTTCTTTCTCCAATCTTTGAATTTTCTTCTCATGTCATATGTGAGTTTGTTTGATCAGAGTGTTAGTGGCAGAAAGCATGTCATCCTGGTCTTTAAGCATAGTAGTGACTGTGGATATGAAATAAACCATGTTTTCCATATAACGTGCTTCGGCATCTTCAAGAGTGCGACCAAGGCGAAGTGAGATAAGCTGATCCAATTGACTTACACTATCAAGGTTGGACGGAGCGACAAATTTGATCTTGTAATTTGATTTAAGCACTAGGTAAAGTTTTAACTCAAGGCTTGCAACTTGTTTAGTGAACTTGTTGACCTTGGAGTTCACTATAGAAACAATATCTCAGAGTTCCAGCAATGCAAATGGATCTGCAATGTTTTCGTCGTAGGAACCAGTATCTGAGGTGGAACTTTCTGACTTATGATCAACAACATCTTTGCTCTTGTCAGCATCGTGTGGAGCTTCTTGAGTAGGAGAATCTTGATGACATATAGGTGTTTTTTCTGGAGGATGAGGAACAACATCATTTTTCTCAAATGCAACATTTTCACCAGATGCTTCCAAGGAAGAAGTGAATCCCAAATGGAAATGAGCTTTGGAGGTGGAAGGCTTCTGAAAAATGTTGATCGAGGTGCCAATAGGAAGAACACCAATAAATATACTCTCATCTTCAAAAATAATTTCTTCCAAGAGTTCATCATCTGTAACATTCCTATCTAGAACATATCACAATATTGTTTGCTTTGGGCCACTCGGAACGAGGACTTCCTAGGAGGTCACCCATCACGGTACTACTCCCGCCCGAGCACGTTTAACTGTAGAGTTCTTATGGTATATGCTGCCCTCACGACTTTAAAACGCGTTGTGTCAAGGAAGGTATCTACACTCCTTATAAGGAAATGTTTTGTTCTCCTTCCAAGCGGATGTGGGATCAAGTGCAACCCACCTTCATCACCTATTATAGGGTTCCATGTCCCTGTAGAACACATCGACCCGTGCCCTAGCTCTGATACCAACTTGTAACACCCATAACAATCATGCCAAATTTAATTTTTAAAAACATTTCAAAACCATTATTCTTTACAAAAATTGTTTTCAAAATAGTAAATATCAGAGTATTGCAGAAACAAATTCATAAATGTAAGGAGCTGTATGATCATGCCTTTGTCTTTCCATGATCATCTGATGATCTTGATGATTTTAATGGACTCCATAACTTGTCTTCAAGTTATGGAATTCCAAAAAAATTTCATTTAAATGAATCATTAAAAATCATAGGTTATAGGAAAATGAAAAGTCTCATTTTAAAAGCCATTAAACTCATATGTTATGAAGTTGAAAAGTTTTGAAGAGTTTCAAAACTTGCCCTCAAATTTTAGAATTTGTAAAGTCACTTCAGAATACTTTAATTCCAAACCCTAGAGTTTTAAAAGTTTAAAATTCAACCCTTATACTATTATAATATTATAGGTTTAATAATATATATATATATATATATATATATATATATATATATATATAAGAACAAGTCAGTCTTACCGTTAGTAGGCCTCATTCACAAATTCGGTCTATAAGGAGGGTATAAGGTTACTACATATAAAATGGTGGTTTAATGGGTGTCCACTCTCACCCACCGCTTCCTTGACTGGTGGAACGTCGTTAGCCGAATTGATAGGATAGGACATTAATTATCATTAAGTATAATGATAATTATAAAGTAACTAAATGTTTTATAAATTCCCAATCTTAGTTACTTTAGGAAAAAATGTGAAATTGATGCTAACCCATAAAATTACACTTTGCACCTTACCAAGTTGTTAGTGGAGCATGTGTGGTTAACCGGCACACTAACATGGACTAGTAAGGGTGGCAAAGGGTAGCTTAATGTTTGTCATAGATCAATGGAGCATTTTTGGTTAACCGGAACATCGATTAGGTGAAAAGTGACATTAAGAGTACCAAGTATATTTTCATGGTTATTCACACCTTGTTTGTGATCCTCGGTATCCCAGTCACAAACTTGAAGGGAATAATCGAGATTTAAACATGACATTGAAAAGTTCAATGAGTCTCAAAAGAATCTAGGAATTTCAATTCATCTAAAACCTAATAATCAATTTCGTTTTTTCATGGTGGAAACTGGTAAATCGTCATTTACCTACCTTTAAATATTTTGCACTTTGGATTACGGCATCCCTCTTCCAAATTGTAAAATATTATGTTGGGTCCTAGCCTTAATATTTCATGTTGGGTGTTATATTAAGGACTCTATATCTAATCTAAACTTTGTCTTTCTTCCTTTTCAGATGTCTTCCAACAATGCTTCTAGTTCAAACCCTACCAGCTCCTTCTTTCTCGTGAACCTTTATGGGAGAGTCATCTTTGATGGAAATAATTTCAATGATTGGATTAGGAACATCAGTATAGTTGCATGCTATGAGGACAAGGAATGTGTCCTTGACAAGGAGCTTAAGGTCATCGATAAATCTTCTGCTACTCTTGAGGAGATTTCTGAGTACACTATCTATGAGAAGGATGCCACTAAGGTATCTTGTATCATGCTGGCGACTATGACAACAAAACTCCAAAAGTCCTATGAGGACGTCTAGCCTTTTGAGATGCACCAAGACCTAATGGAAAGATACCATCGGAGTGCACGTCAAGAGAGATATGAAATCATCACCTCCATGATAACAACTAAAATGAAGGATGGAGAGTCCATCACGACCCATTTGCAGAAAATGCAAAGATTTGTGGACCGTTTGCTTAAGTTAAATGTGAATTTTGACGAGGAGTTGGCTATAGATATCATTCTCCACTCCTTACCTCCATGTTATGATCAGTTCTGCATGACCTATTATATGAAAAAGGAGGAGGTCACATTTAGCAAACTTCAGGGAGTTTTGACGACTGCTTAATGTAGTCTCAAAGGTAAGAATGTTGTTACCACTCCTACTATTGCCCCAATCCTAGCAATCGGGCAAGGCAAGGGAATGAAGAGGAAGGTGTTGGATTAGGTTTCTAAGCCCATAACTATAATTGGTATGTACTTGAATTGATAGTACCAATATCCTTTTGGGTTGCCTTCAAACCTGGGAATTGAATAAGATAACTATTGGAGAGAGAAGAACGATTTATTAACTTACTACTTGGTTAATAAATTTATTTGAAACAAGATAAATGATTTACTAATGTATTATGGATATAATATATTAACTAGAAATCATATTGTTTAATTAATATTTAATCATAAATTAATTTGGAATTAATTTTAGGATTAAAGGAATTAATTGAAAATGTAGGGACTAAAAGTGGAAATATTCAAAAGTTGAGCATTGAGCAGTCTAGAACCTCCCTTAGAGGTGGGGAACAAAATCTAGAGTGTCCTAGGGTTTCTATGGGCTCTAAGGGTGCCTTGGAAGCCTTAGGGAGGAAGTTAAGGGATTAGGGTTATCTAAGATACACCTACCTTATCTTAAACCTTCCTTATAACCTATATAAACCCCTATAGGGTTGGATTTCATCCCATGCACTTCAAGAAAGGCTTAGAGCTGAATTTTCACTTCCCTTCTCTCTCCATAGTAATCCTTGGTTCCGGGTTTGATTGTTATTACTATATACAAATAAAGGTATGTATCTAACCCTAATTATATGTTAATTTCGAAAATTACATGTGCCTCCTAGGGTGTCTAGTTTTGTGTTCAATGCTTGTATATCTAATAGTGAACACATATATCTTCAAATTAGGGTCGCATGCACACATAAGATTATTTGCTATGTATAAAACGCATAAGTGGTACCAAAGATTTTGGTTGTTGTTTTCAATTAGATTTGATACAAAAGTATGAATTTGACAAATTAGGGTTTATGGAAAATAAACCCTAGGGCTTGGATTTTCGAAATTAGGGTTTCAAAACCCTAGTTTTTGAAAATTGATAGGGTTTCTTGAACGCTTTTTCCTTTAGCCCCATCTTTTCGATTTTAGGGTTGGTAAACCCTAGGGTTTTCGAATATACCTTCCTCCCCAAGATTAGATTTCAAAAGTTTAGGGATTAGGATAATGTTATCTTTGGTAATTATATTATTAATTATTTAAATGATTAATTAAAGATTTTGAAATATCCCTTTCCAAAATCTCAAAATCTAGGGGATAAAGGGATTAGGTTCAATTAATTAGCTAATTTAATGGATAATCCTTTAAGATTTAATAATTTAAATTAATTGTTTAATTTTGGATAATTAGTAAATCAAAGTTTTAATATTTAAGATTTTAAAATTAAAAGGTATTAATTTTTCGAAAATTTTAAATTTAATTAAAACCCTAGTATTTTGAAATGTTTAAAATACACCCTTATACTATTATAATATTAAAAGCTTAATACTTTTATATATATATGTGTGTGTGTAAGAAGAGTCAGTCTTACCATTAGTAGGCCTCATTCACGAAGCTGGTCTACATGGGGGGTATAAAGACATTGCCAATAAAATAACGATTGAATGGGTGTCCACTCTCACCCACCGCTTCCTTGACTACTGGAGGGTCGTTAGCCAAACGGGTAGGATAGGACATTAATAAGTATAATGAACAATGTAAAGTAACTAAATGCTTTTACAACATTCGCAATCTTAGTTACTTTAGGAAAAATGTGAATTTTGTGCTAATCCATGAAATTGCACATTGCACTTTGTTGGTCGTTAGTGGAGCGTGTGTGGTTAACCGACATGCTAATATGGGACTAATGAAGGATGGAAATGGGCTTCACGTAAGATTATCATTGATCAATGGAGCATGTGTGGTTAATCGACACATTGATTGGGTGGTAATCGACATCGAGAGTACCGAACTCAAAAGATCTAGGAGTTTCAATTCATTTAAAACCTAATTTTTCAATTTTCATTTTTTCATGGTAGAAATTGGTAAATCGTCATTTACCAAGCTTCAAATATTCTGCATCTGGATTACGGCATCCCTCTTTTGAGTTGTAGAATATTGTGTTGGGTCCTAGCCTTAATATTTCCTTTGGGTATTATATTAAGGGTTGAATCAACTAACTTGAATTTCTCCCGTTTGTAGATGTCAAAATCTAACAACTATTATCATCCCAAATCCTTTGGAAACAACTTTTCATATGAAGATGATGTTCCACGATTGGATCATGGAAATGGAAATCATGATTCACTTCCTCCACCTCCTCCAATAATTCTCCCTGGCCCACGTGTTCGAAGACTTGAAAAGTTCAAGGTCACTCAGGCCCTATTGTCACGCAAACACGAAGAAGGAAAGTCAATATGTACTCATGTCTTAGATATGAAGTTGTATATTGACAAGTTGGGGATGTTGGGTGTCGATGTCTCAAGGAAGTTGGTTGTTGACTTGGTTCTGTAATCACTTCCCGAATCATATAGTGAGTTCATTAAAGATTACTATATGATGGACCATGATGTGACCCTCGTTGATCTTACCTATTTGCTTATTGATGTTGAATCAGCAATGATTTGGTGCAATGCTAAAGAAAATTTGACTTGTAGATCAACCTCCCAAACTTCCATTGAAGTTTAAAATGGCAACATTGGAGGTCCAAAAAATTCTTCTCTTCCCAATGGAAAGCGATTAGCCATGGTCAAACCGTATAACCAATGGTAAAGAGAAAGGCTGAATCTGAGATTGTCCAATATGCAGTTCCAAAAGAGTCCATTTGTTTCTACTGCCAAGAGAAGGGGCATTGGATGCGAAGCTGTCGTATCTACCTAAAGCATCGCGAAGATGGGAGAGTCAAGATGTATGACTCTGCTTTAGGTAAATCCACTATCTAACTCTATTAAGCTCCTATTTATAGATTCTTCATACATGATTTGATAATATTATATTTTGATGTTTTGTAGGATCGAAGAAAAGAAAGGAAGCTTAAAGGAAAGGTATGCTGACTCTGATCGTGAAGAGATGGATTTCGATCGCGTAGTTCGATGATCGGATTTTTGAGCTGCCATTAAAGTGTTATGATAGATTGCTTAGGAATATTCTAGTAACATAATTTTTATTTGTAATTGCGTTGTAAGGACAAGTGTTTTTTTGCATTTTTATAAATAAAATAAATTTTGATTTTTATCTTATTTATATATATATATATATATCCTTGCAATGACTTTTGTGAAAATTGATGTTTGTACGTTTCTACTATTAGTAATATTGAAAATGGATGTGATTCTTAGTTATGTTATTTGTGGAAGCATCAAAGATTGACCCAATAGAGAATAATTCTTATCACCCAAGTTTCAATTGCATAGAAACTTGGAATCACGCGACTTGTGTTGTGTGATGAATGAGAACCTTTGTATTTGGGAAATTAAGACTAATTCCTTGTTCACACAAGTATGAGAGTCAAGTGAACGACTAGAGGATCTAGTATACATTGTTGTGCACTAGGTCAAGTCCGCCACAAAGAACGATAAGAATATTTGTCATGATTTGCTAAAGGTTTAGTAAATATGGTTATTCTTACAAGATTAAGTGCAATTCTGAATCGTTGAAAAGGTCTCAAAGTAAAGTAGAACGAA